TTGCTCAGGCTGGTCTCAAACTCCTGAGCTTGAGGGATCCTCCTACCTTGGCCTCCAGGGTACTAGGATTACAAGCATGAGCTGCTGTGGCCAGCTCACACATCGTTTTTTAAGTGGTTGTAATCCTCATTTATTTTTTACCTAAAGTGTCTTTATACAGCTGAAAAACTCATCTCACCCCCCAGATTTGGCTATCATTACTTGATGTCATTGCCAAAAACCAAAGCCATTTAAAATTTAAAAAGCTGCACGCAAAAGTATATGCTGCAGGCTGCAAAAAAAATGACAGTGAACTCCTCATTTCTAATTTCACCATCATCTCTCTTATTAGCATCACTGAAAAGGGTCATGGTTATTCTTGGAGGCAGAATACCACAATGAGCTAAGATCAAAATAGCCAAAACATGCTTGGGAAAGAACAGCTAGAGGACTTACTGATCTCAAAGTGCAAAGTGCTCTATAAAGCTGGAGTAATTCAGACCGTGTGGTACTGGCAGATCAATAGAACGGAATTGGCTGTCTAAGAATAAATCTTTACACTTATTGTCAATTTTTCACAAAGGTGCCAAGGTAATTCATTAACGGAAAAGATTTTCTTTTCAACAAATGACACCATGACAATTGGTTATCTGCATGCAAAAAGATGAACTTATACTCTTACCTTTTACATACACAAAAATTAAGTCAAAGTGAGTACTAGCCTAAATACAAAAACCTAAGACTATAAAACTTTTAGAAGGAAATATGAGTGTTGGATTAGAGAATGTTTCTTGTCTATATCACCAAAATACAAGCAATAGAAGGAAAGAAGTTGATAAATTGTACTTAATCAAAATTAAAAATGTTTGCTCTTCAATAGACAAGACCCAGAATAGGAGAAAATATCTACAAATTATATATCTGATAAAGCACTTGGATCTAGAATAAAGAACTCTAAGAACTCAATAAAAAGACAAGTAACTCAATTTAAAAGTGGGCATAAGATTTAAGTAAATGTTTTACCACAGAAGATAAAAATATAAAATGATGGGGGCGGTGCCTGTGGCTCAAAGGTGTAGGGCACTGGCCTCATATACCAGAGGTAGTGGTTTCAAACCCAGCCCCTGCCAAAAAAAAATCAAAATATAAAATGATGATCAACATACCTCATTCCTAGGAAAATGAAAATTAAAACAACTGTTGCACACTCCCCAAAATGACTCCAATTACAGAGGAGGATGTGGAGAAACTGGAACTCTCTTCCATCGCTGACAGCAATGTAAATTGATCCAGCCATTTTGGAAAGCACTTATGCACTTTTTCAAAAAGTAAATTTGTGATATCATCCAGTAATTTCATTTCTACACATCTACCCAAGAGAAATGAAAACATGTGGTCACTCATGTCAGTGTTCATGTCAGGTTTCATGTCAGTGTTCACAATAGAATTATTCATAATAACCCAAATCTAGAAACAACTCAAATATTCACCAACTACTGAATCAATAAACAAAACACATATATTATACATGTGTGATGAATGTATATTTCTATATATATACCTTTTAATGATTTTTATATATCTATATGCTAAAATGCTATTTTTCTTATGAATTCCAGTAAACTGTGTCTATTTTAACAAGTTCATAAGAATATGTTCTCATATATAATTTCAAATTAGCATTTCTTCAATTTTCAGTCAGGTAAAAATTTGGGTCCAAATCCTAGCTCTACCCCGTCTTAGCTCTGTGCTCCCAGGTTAGTTACTTAACCTCTCAGAGCCTATACTAGTAAAGTATGGGCAATAATATATATCTTATGGGATTCTGGGATTAAATGAGATAAAATGTGTTAAATGCTTAGCCCTGGAATGACACAGTGTCAGTCCTTAAGGAATCATACCCAGTATTGATATTTGTCTTTTTGGAGTTTTCTTTGCAAGTCTGATATTTCACCAATAATTATAACGAGAAGAAGGAAGCACTTTGTGCGGTGGAGAAAGCTACTTCAGCACTTACAACTCCCTGACTTCAAATTTTCACTTAATCTCTCTGGATCTCAGTTGTCAAAATCTATAAATGATATTCAACTCACAGGATTTATGAGTAGAAAAATACTCCCTATATTAGCGAGCTTAGTGAACTGCAAAGGGCAATACAATTACGAAGTACAATATTATCATGACCTGCTGTTTCCACCACTACCACCCACAGTGTGTTTACGTTTAACTGCCTGTAGAGTATCCTGGGGACAAGCCTTAACCCCTAAAATTGTAATGACAGAATCTTTTCATGGCCACGGTGGTGGTAGAAAGTCATTTTCAAAATAAATTTTATTCCTCTGTTGTTCACACACATAGTAAGAAGAACTGTGTTCCTCCCTATCTGAAACACTCTCTGCCTGTCCTCATGAGCTATCAGCTCAGCTAAATATGGCCCTGGCCAGTATGTTAATAATCCCCACTGGTTCTGAGACCTCCATCCACCACCGATGTGACATTCTTTGTGTTCAAATGTCTAGCTGACGTCTGATGCTTAAAACAGCCCATGCTTTCACCCCTCTCTGCATTGTCACAGCCCTGTCTCACCACTCTTAAAAGGCTACTGCAGCCACTCCAAGCACAGTTGCTGGTCTGCCTGCCCACTTGCCTCCCTGCCTGCTTCGGGCAGTCTTGAATGCCTGATTCTCCAAGCTCCTTGCCTGTCTGACACAGCAGGGACCATGTCTACCTTTGGCTATAGAAGAGGACTCAGTAAATATGAATCCATTGATGAGGACGAGCTCCTCGCCTCCCTGTCTGCAGAGGAGCTGAAGGAGCTGGAGCGAGAGTTGGAAGACATTGAACCTGATCGCAACCTCCCCGTGGGGCTGAGGCAAAAGAGTCTCACGGAGAAAACCCCCACGGGGACCTTCAGCAGAGAAGCGCTGATGGCCTATTGGGAAAAGGAGTCCCAAAAACTCCTGGAGAAGGAGAGGCTGGGGGAGTGTGGAAAGGTAGGCTCCTGGGACTTTGCCTGGCTGCTCCCACACCCCGCCCCAAACCCAGCCACCTTCTTTCTCTAACTTCTCAGTCCTCATCACTCTAATGTTCTTCTTGCCTGTTTGTGCTGCTACTGAAACATTTCTTAGGCTGAGATGGTCGTGTAATTTTTATGGCTACCCAGTGGATCAAAATATGTAAAATACTTAACTGGGGTTCTTTGACTGACTAAAAATAGGAACCTCAAGAGGAGAGTAATTCACAACCAAGGTATGGGTTTAAGTATTTTCCTAACCATAACTCATTTGAACTATAAGTTGGTGATATAGAGCAATATCAGTTTCTGAGATATATGTGTGTGTTTCAGTTAAGTACATCTATTGTCGCCTAGAAATACAAAAATGGGGACTTTGATGGCCTTGACAGTGATAGTGGTTACAGTAAAAATAGTTCTTTTTTTCCCTAACACCAGTAAGTGTGGGGTGGAGGGAAGTACATGGGACCTAGAGTCCCGGGCCTTGGGTTCTAGACCCTTCTTCATCCTTAGACCTTCAACAGTCACTTCTTCAGGATTCTCTTTCTATCTGTCTATTGGAGGAATTAGATATAATGTTTCTTTTGTCAATCAGGAACTCCTCTGACATTTGGATACATTATGGACCTTCTCCTCAAGAAAATATACATGCTTGTGCACAGGAACACAAACTTTTGCAGAGAGTTTTCAGATGACACATCCTAAAACCCATCTGAGGACCTGGCTTGGGTATACCTGTGTAGATGATCTCTAAGATTTCCTCCCACTTTACCATGATGATTTGCAGACCGGGAAATGTGCTTATATCAGAGCTCAAATCTAAGCTCTGTGTACTGCCCAGTAAACAGTTACTTTGAATTTGCCCCATGAGTCATTACCAGAAGGAAGTTCAAAAGACTGTGCACTGGGAAAATAGTAATGGCAATAAAATATTAATATAACAAACACATTCTCCCTGAATTTATAAAACTCAGGTCAGCCAGGAACTGGAGTTTAAAACCCCTGCATTCTACAGGAATCATCCAGAGTCAAATTGGCCCAAAGCCGACAGCAAGATGTCCACAGTACTAATCTAGGCGCTGTTAGATGATCTTGATGATGGGGTATGTGGGCCACAATTGCAGCAAGGGATGAGTGAGCTTTGTCCATGTCAATCATCTGGAAGGGCTACTGGGATCTGGCCAATGTCTGCTAAGGCCACAGAGGCTGCCTGTCTAGAGGATCTAGAAGGGGAGGTGGGAAGGAAGGATGCACGTGACAAGCTGGGGAGTCAGTCTGTCAATTCCTCCACAACTATCATTTCAAGGGGGTTTTATTTTTCCCTCTGATGTGGGAATGAGTGTCAAAGTCTGACAAAATATAATGACATTTTTATTACAGTTGTTAAAGAATTTCCTTGACAGAAAAGAATAAAATTGTCTCAGGACATAACAGCCAGCTGTAGCATAACCCAGCAAAGGCATTTTAATGTCATAACAGTGGTGGGAACCAAAGGGCAAAGCCTGTTGTCAGCTGTTGACAAAACCCACCTGTTCCTGCCAAAGGTTTTGCTGATCGCTGCCATGGCTTATCAGCTCAATTAGAAAGGTTGCTGTGTTGATAAACTTTGATTCCTTTCTCAGCTAATTAACTTTTCTCCCACTATACTTTCCCCACTTGCCAGCTATCTGTAGTCTCGGGGAGTGCTGGGCAGAAGCTTGCTGATGGAGGGTGTAAATCTAATTCCCACCACAGGAAAAAAAACTCAATCAGTTCAGGGGTGTGTAGGGGCTCAGAGCAGCTGCATGAAAAGCCCCATGGTAGGGACCATGAGGAGGTGGCTAGGGGTCTTGAGTGTCTGGTGGCTGGCTGCCTTCTGCCCACCTGAGTTCACATCAGCTTATGCTGCACTGGAATCTCCAGGGGCCCTAGGAGACCCACTGGCCTGGATCCCAGGGCTGGGCACCTGCTGGGCCTTGAGCACAGGTGCCAATGAGTTTCCTTATGTTCTCTAACCTCATTCTTACCTTTCCGCACATGAGAACTCAGACTAGGTAAGTTAAGAAACTCATTTGAGGTTAACAGTTTGCCAGTGGTACTGAAATTTAAGCTAAGCTTTGTGGGACAAAGACCTATCTCATGATTGTGGGTGCCCAATCAGCAGCAGCACCTGGGAACTTTTCGGAAGTGCAAATTCTAGAGCCTCCCTTGATCTGGTGAATGAGAAAGTCTGAGGATGGTGCCCAACAATATGTGGTCTCCTAGCCCTCCAGGTGATTAAGAACCATTCAACTACAGTTGACCCTTGAACAGCATAGGGGTTGAACCAACTGCCCCAGTCCAGAATCCACAACAAACTTTTGACTCCCTCCAAACTTAACTACTGATAGCCCACTGTAGACCAGATGCCTTACTGATAACAGTCAATTAACACATATCATACATAAAATATTATGTACTGCATTGTTACAATAATGTAAGTTAGGTAAAACGAAGTATACAGTAATCTTAATCTTAATAATCACTGTTGAGTGGGCTGAGGAAGAAGACCAACCCCTCGTTGTCTCAGGGGTGGGAGAGATGGAAGAAAATCCACATAAAGGTGGACCCATGCAGTTCAAACCCTGTTGTTCAAGGGCAACTATATACTGTAGTTTCTTTGAGACCCAGAGAGGTTTAGTGTCCTGTTTAAAGTCCACCAGTTCTTTACAGACAGAACCAGAACCAGAAGGAAAAATGCTCGGCTATTTCCTTCTCATTGTCTTATTTATTCTCTGAGTGCACCAACATTCACCTTCTCCAAATTCAGCCCCTCAACATCTCACCCCCACTTCCTCACCCCACCCCACCTTCCTACCTTCATTCTCCAGAGAATCAGGCTTAACGTCAAGTCAGTGGCATACAGGAAATCCACAGTGGAAGAGTGCCCTAGTGCGAGGAGATTTACAAAGTAGGCAAAGCAGACGCCTTTCTCTCCTCTGTGCTTTTTCTTCCAGATGGCCTCCAGCTAGGGTGACTAACCATCCTAGATTGTCCAAGACTCTCCAGATTTTAGAACTAAATCTGCTTTGTGGGCAACCCCTCCGGCTTAGGCAAACTGGGAGAGTTGCTCACCTTACTCCCACCAGACCCTATCATTGCTTTCTCCTAGAGCAGCGGTTCTCAGCCCATGGGTCACAACCCACAGGAACTGTATTAAAGGCTCGCGGCATTAGGAAGGTTGAGAGCCACTGTCCTAGAGCCAGTCAGACTCACAGCTGCTGATAATTAATGTCAGCGTAGGTCCATTCAGCTAATCACTGCTAAGCACTATGCTAGGTGAGTTAAACAGACAAGGGCCTGGTGCTTGCTTCAGCAGCACTAAAATTGGAAGGATACAGAGAAGGAAGCATGGCCCCTGTGCAAGGATGGCACGCAAATCTGTGAAGCGTTCCATATTAAAAATAAAAATAAAAAACAGACAAGGCCCTGTTCTCACCCAGCTAACAGTCTACTGGGAAAACTGACAAGCAAGTAATTAAAATAAGGTGTGTAGGTACTTTATGGGGGACACACATTGCAGGGATAATTTGAGGGGGTGTCAAAGAACATTTTTGGGGAGAGATGTCATTTGGATGTTACATGGCAACTCAGTCTGCTAAATGATTATCTTTCCAGGTACATTTTGAGGAAAGAAGCTCTTACAGATAGAGCCTGAAGGTCTTTAAAACCAAAGGGGATAAAATTTAATGGTGGCATAAAAGGTCACATACCTTGGATTTGAGGATAGACCACTTTCTTCCAGATACGAAAACAGCTAAACACACACACTTACAAACACATACACACACACAACCAAGACCGTAGAATTACAAAGGATTTCAAGTGGGGTGGGAGTGAGGAGAACTCAGTCTACAATTCTTTCCTTCCTCCAGTTAATCCACTAACTCCTGTGCTGGCCAGATAAATCCTCCTCTCCTCCTCGCACAGGCCAAGAGGCTCAGCTAGAGCCAAACTCTCTGGTGTATTTGGCTGTGGCCTGAAGCCAGCTACCACCAGACGTCTTTCTCTCTCTTTTTCTCTTTTACTCTCTCAGAGAGAGAGAGAGACAGAGAGCATGCACACTCCTAATGTGGGTAAATTAAGACTGGACAAGTCATCCCAGGAGAGGCTGACCTCTTCCCCAGGCCATCATTTGGTGCCTGCCACTCCAAACAAGTGGATAACTGGAGGCTATTTTGTGGTAGCAACTGGGCAAACAAACCTGGAGACAAGTACAGTGTTTTCCAAAGCTTGATCCACAGGCCTCAGGCAGCAGGTGCCCTTGGGTTCAGAAAAAAAGGTGCCGGTGTAGAGAGACGAGTCAGAGCTTTGAGGCCAGAGGAGAGGCCTTGAGTCTTGGAGACAATAAAGAACCAAAAAGACAGCATGAGGGAAGACTGGACTCCATCATCCATTTGTAGACTTTTTTTTTTTTTTTTTTAACCAGAAAAGATAGCAAGATAGAGAAAGAGGGAGTCACCGGGCTTCTTTGTACAGTGAGTCTATGGACAAGAAAGACAAAGACAGAATGAAATCGTGCTTGCCTGAAAGCCTTTCATAAATGATACATGTTAAATAATTTAAGACCATCAGGCCGGGCAATGACTTACTGCAAGATTTTCTGCCATACTGTGCTGTTCTGCGTTACTGTTTCGCATCTAATGAGTGAATGCCAAGGGCGATTGTCTTCCCACCCCACTTTCTGCAGTCCGTTGCAGTTAACCCTGACCTAGGTGGAGCTTTCAAGTTGATTTGCTGACAGGGGTGACCTGAAAGTTTTCTTCCTAAGGTAGGGCTTTTACCTCCTGCTGCCCTGAATGACAGCCCTGCCCCCAGGCTGCCCCTCCCCACGGGGGACCAGCGCCCTGCTGTGGTGTGGAGCATCCAAGTCCCTGTGCAGGCCTCTATTGAATAAGTAGATAAAATGCAAATGACACCCCTGCTTCTGTCTACACTGAGTCTAGCCAGGACAGACGGGACTTGGCTCTTGTCACATCTCCCATGGATAGAAAATTTGGGGAAGAATTGTTAGACACCACAAAGGGTAACTCATTAGCACACTGTATATTTTTGTTGCCACTTGTCTGTTTGAGAAGGAAAAGTTAGGAAGGCCAGAGGTGATTCCAAAGGAAGAGTTGAATTTGCTAAATGGAAGTAGATGAGGAATCAAGTTATTAAGAGTGAGCAATGAAAAATGTATCAGGGGTTAGGTGGGGCTTGTGGTGGGTGCTTATAGTTCCAGCTATGTGGGAGGAGGCAAGAGGATCGCTTGAGCCTAAGAGTTTGAGGTTGCTGTGAGCTGTGATGCCTCAGCACTCTACTGAGGGCAACATAGTGAGACTCTGATTCGAAAAGAAAAAAAGAAACTTTTATCAAGGGTTTTCCAAAGATGAAGTTCTGACTTATTTGTTCAAATTGAAAAGATGCCACTAAATTCGTATTCAATAAATAGAATTCTGGATATTTCGTAGAAAACAAAAGAAATATTTATATAAAAAGCTATTGATACTTATACAACAAAATGCTAACTTTGATCCCCCCAACTAGAGAGCTCAGAAACAAGGGAGTGATAACTTTTCTTTTGTTATAGACTTTGGTATTAATTTGCCATGTGCTACTTTCATAAATTAAAAAAAGTGCTTAAAAATGAAAAATCTAAAAATGATACCATGCTCTTTAGGTTGCAGACGAAGAAGAGAAAGAGGAGAGTGAGGAAGAGCTTATCTTTACTGAAACGAACAGTGAGGTTTCTGAGGAGGTGTACACAGAAGAGGACGAGGCGCAGGACGAGTCCCAGGAGGAAGAAGACAGCGACCAAGAGGAAGGAGCAGTTGAAACAGCAGGAGGTATTAATGGAAGTGTGAATTACGAGGGTGTCAATTCTGACAACTGTAAGCCAAAGACATTTAAAAGCCAAATCGAGAACATAAATTTGACCAATGGCAACAGCGGGAGGAACACAGAGTCACCAGCTGCCATTCACCCTTGTGGAAATCCCACGGTTATTGAGGACGCTTTGGACAAGATTAAAAGCAACGACCCGGACACCACCGAAGTCAATCTGAACAATATTGAGAACATCACAACACAGACCCTCTCCCGCTTTGCTGAAGCCCTCAAGGACAACACGGTGGTGAAGACGTTCAGTCTGGCCAACACGCGGGCTGACGACAGTGCCGCCATGGCCATCGCCGAGATGCTCAGGGTCAACCAGCACATCACCAGCGTCAACGTCGAGTCCAACTTCATTACGGGCAAGGGCATCCTGGCCATCATGAGGGCTCTGCAGCACAACACGGTGCTCACGGAGCTGCGCTTCCACAACCAGCGGCACATCATGGGCAGCCAGGTGGAGATGGAGATCGTCAAGTTGCTGAGGGACAACACCACGCTGCTGAGGCTGGGCTACCACTTCGAGCTCCCGGGACCCAGGATGAGCATGACGAGCATTTTGACAAGAAACATGGACAAACAGAGGCAGAAGCGGATGCAGGAGCAAAAGCAGCAAGAGGGATACGACGGAGGCTCGGCTCTGAGGACCAAGGTCTGGCAGAGAGGAACGCCCGGCTCTTCACCCTACGCGTCTCCCAGGCACTCCCCCTGGTCGTCCCCCAAACTCCCCAGGAAAGTCCAGACTGTGCGGAGCCATCCTCCCTCTCCTGTGCCCACACCCCCGCCGCCGCCGCCTCCCCCCCTTCCTCCCCAGAGTCTCCAAGTGCCACCTCCTCCCCCGGCCCCTCCACTCCCCGAGAAAAAGCTCGTCACCCGCAACATCGCAGAAGTCATTAAGCAGCAGGAGACGGCCCAGCGGGCGCTCCGCAATGGACAGAGAAAGAAGAAGGGCAAGAAGGTTAAGAAACAGCCCAACAATATCCTAAAGGAAATAAAAAATTCTCTGAGGTCAGTGCAAGAGAAGAAAACAGAAGACAGTTCCCGACCTTCCACCCCGCAGAGATCAGCTCATGACAATCTCATGGAAGCGATTCGGGGCAGCAGCATCAGACAGCTGAGGCGGGTGAGTAAGCTGAGGTCAGACCCTCGAGCACAGGGTTAGGCAATGCCTTTAGTGCTAAAGTCTCCTCCCCACAACCATAAAGTGTTTCAAATATTTTCACGTGTGGAGTAAGCAGGCCGAGTCTGAAGCGGAGGAGCAGGGAGGTGAGTGAGGACAGTTGCATTGGAGAGCTGTGAGGGCCACAACCATTTTAAGACGTTCCAATGGCCAGGTTTGGTGGCTCAGCCCTGTGATCCTAGCACTCTGGGAGGCCGAGGTGGGAATCCTTGCGCTCAGGACTTTGAGACCGACCTGAGCAAGCGTGAGACCCCGTCTCTACTAAAAATGGAAAACTAGCTGGGTGGGTGTGGTGGTGTGTGCTTGTAGTCCCCAGCTGCTCAGGAGGCTGAGGCAGGAGGAGTGCTTGAGCCCAAGAGATTGGTACTGTGAGCTATGATGGCATCATAGCCCTCTGTCCAGGGTGACAAAGTAAGACACTGTCTCAAAAACTAAAAAAAAAAAAAAAATAAAAAAAATTTAAAAAACATTTAAAAAAACAAGTAAAAAGACATCAACACATAAAAATCCCCTTGACCTGAAAATC